AGAGTAGAGGTAGTAAAAGTAGTAGTAGTAGTAGTAGTAGTAGTAGTAGTAGTAGTAGTAGTAGTAGTAGTATTAGTAGTATAGTAGTAGTAGTAGTAGTAGTAGTAGTAGTAGTAGTAGTAGTAGTAGTAGTAGTAGTAGTAGTAGTAATAGTAGTAGTAGTAGTAGTAGTAGTAGTAGTAGTAGTAGTAATAATAATAGTAGTAGTATAGTAGTCGGAGTCGTAGCCGTCGTACCCGTAGTTGGCTTACCAGCATTGGCAGCATAGACGTTAGCTGGAGCAGTAGCGGTGACAGTGCCGTTCGCAGTGTGAGCAGCAGTCGCCGTAGTACCAGTATTCTTACGAGCAGTTCTAGACGCATTGTGATACTACTAAGAGCCACCCGTGGTGGAGAATGAAGATAAACATGAGGATGTGGATGCGGATGCGGATAGGGGGGGCAGAGGGCAATGAGGAACCGTCATGTGAGGAGGGCGGGTCTACTGCGGAGGCGCAGGAGGAGGATGTGGGGGATGAGTCGCGTGTTGGCCATGAGGTCGGCGCAGTCATTGATGGTGATGATGATGATGCTGATGATGGTGATGCTGGTGATAATGCTGACGGTGATGCTGTCGACGATGCTGATGCTGCTGCTGATGCTGATGATGCTGAAGATGCTGCTGATGCTGAAGATGCTGCTGATGCTGCTGATGATGAGGCTCGTGAATATGATGAGGACGCTGATGATGCTACTGATGGTGATGGTGATGTTGATGCTGATAGTGAGTATGACGATCATGATTATGACGATGCTGATGACGATGGTGATGGCGATGCTGATGACGATGAAAATGAATATGCTGATGCTCAAGCGGCTGGTGATGATGATAATGATGATGACGATGGTGATGATGCGGGGGAGGATGATGAGTATGGTGGTGATGATGATGCTGCTGATGCTGATGATGCTGATGACGATGGTGTTGGTGATGATGATGCCGATGATGCAGCTGGTGATGATACTGATGATGCTGATGACGATGATGATGATTATGACGATGCAGATGACGATGATGATGATGATGCTGATGATGATGATGATGATAGTGATGGTGACGATGGTGGCCATGACGATGCTGCCGCTGCTGCTGATGATGATGACGACGACGATGACGATGATGATTGCGATGCTCATGACGATGATGATGCGGAGGATGCTGTTGCTGATGATGCTGATGCCGATGATGGTGGTGATGATGATGCAGCTGACGATGGTGCTGGCGATGCTGATGACGATGATGATGATTACGCCGATGCCGATGACGATGATGATGATGCTGATGACGATTAACCGATGATGGTGATGATGATGATGGCGGCGATGGTGACCATGATGATGATGTCGATGCTGATGCAGATGCTGCTGATGACGGCCATGACTGATGATGCTGATGCTTGTGATGATGATGATGATGATACTGATGATGCTGATGACGATGATGATGATGATGCTGATGCTGATGATGATGATGATGATGATGATGATGATGATTATGCTGATGATGATGATGATGGTGATGATGATGGCAATGATGCTGGTGATGCTGATGAAGATGCTGTTGATGATGGTGGTGCTGCTAATGATGCTGCTGCTGATGCTGCTGATGATGCTGCTGATGGTGGTGATGATGCTGATGATGCTGATGATGCTGATGATGCTGATGATGCTGATTCTGATCAACGTTGTGGTGATGATGGTGATGATGATGGTGATGATGATGCTGCTGCTGATGATGATGACCCGGCGGAGGAGGAGGAGGAGGAGGAGGAGGAGGAGGAAGAACAAGAGGACGACGACGACGAGGACGAGGACGAGGACGAGGACGAGGACGAGGATGATGGTGATGATGATGATATTGATGATGATATTGATGCTGATGATGATGGCGATGATAATGATGCTGCTGACGATGATGATGATGCTGCTGCTGATGATGATGCTGATGATGATGCTGATGCTGCTGCTGCTGATGATGGTGGTGGTGGTGGTGGGGGTGATGCTGATGATGATGATGACGACGAGGATGATGATGATGCTGATGATGATGATGATGAGGATGAGGATGATGATGATGATGCTGATGATGATGCTGATGATGACGACGACGACGATGATGATGATGATGACGATGATGATGATGAGGATGATGAGGATGATGCAGATGATGATGATGATGATGATGATGATGATGATGATGATGATGATGATGATGATGATGATGGTGGTAGTGGTGGTGGTGGTGGTGATGGTGTTGGTGGTTGTGGTGGTGATGATGATGATGATGATGATGAGGAGGAGGAGGAGGAGGAGGAGGAGGAGGTGGAAGAGGAAACTGATGATGCCGATGCTGAGAAGGAGGAGGAGTAGGAGGATGATGAGGTGGAGGAGGAGGAGGAAGAGGAGGAGGAAGAGGAGGATGAAAAGGAAGAGGACCAGGACGAGGACGAGGAGGAGGAGGACGAGGACGAGGACGAGGAGGAGGAGGAGGAGGACGAGGAGGAGGAGGAGGACGAGGACGAGGAGGAGGAGGAGGAGGAGGAGGAGGAGGAGGCCCGACATGTACAGCATATTAGCTCGCTGTGGCTCCGTCTCGGGCGAGGGCGCGGGCAGCCCGCCCCCCGCTCCGAGCGGCGCGCCCTCTGGTGCGGTGCGCTGCCATGCGCCGTGGAGGCCCGCGCTGGGGGGCGGGGAGGAGGCGGGACCACTCGGAGGAGTTGGAGAGGTTGGGTGAGGAGGGTGCGGAGGAGGATCACGAGGGAGGCGGGAGGAAGGAGGGAGGAGGCACGGGGGAGGAGGGGGGAGGGAGGAGGAAGAGGGAGGAACGAGGGAAGAGGAAGGAAACAGGAGAGAGGAGGGAGGTGGGAGGAGGGAGGGAGGAAGATCAGAGGAGGGGGCGAGAGGGAAGGGAGGAGGCAGGAGGACCAGGCTTGGAGACGGCTCTGGGCAATGTGGGTCTCTT